ACGTACAAGAGCTTCGTCTGGTAGTCGCCACCGGACTTCAAGCGCGCAATGATCATGTCCAGTAGATCTCGTTGGTGCTCGACATGGTGCCCGAGCCGGAGCATCATGGACTCCTTCAAGCAGGCAACTGTCCTCTTGAGTTTGTTCCATGATGGCAGAGCAAGCGCTGTGATTCAACTGTAGAGAAGTAATGTCGCCCGGATTAAAGAACTACCCCACAAATGAGCTAAACTTGCCTGGAACGCAATCGTAATAACTGCCCCGCAATTGAGATAAACTTGCCCGGAACATATGTATCAACTATCCCGCAGTTGTGCAAACGCCCCCGGCCCCAATTTTTTGAGCTAGGCGGCGGCCCAGAGCACTGAACTTCGATTCCGTCCGGGCCCGGAAACCAATCTTTATGAGCCGCTGTTGAAAAAAAACCATAAAGCTACCAAGTTTTCAGAGGGAGGTGCTTTCCGAAACCGGAAAACTTCGCAATACTCATGTTCAAAACACTACCCCCCCCCCCCGCCCGCCCCCCCCCTTTTTATCGGCAACCTCGGGAGTTCCAAAACTGAGCCAAAATGCCTTCAACCCTTTACATTTTAGGGATTAGGGTTGAAGGCTTCCCCCCCCTTTCAAACAACTGTCCCTAAACTTCTCCCCCCCCCCTCAAACAACTGTCCCAACTCTTGATTTGGGGGCGCCAGTTTGGGGCCCGTCTATTGCGAATCTGGGTTGTGGGGGGGGAGGGGGTTACTAATCAGAAGGCTACATTAGAGAATACTTCTGAAAACATCTTGAAGCCCTGTTTTGTGGGCTCCTTCAAGCGGGTGAGAGACACGATGTGTTCCTCCTGTGCCATGTGACAAGACAGCGCTTGAGCCACGCAGGCAACTGTGGCACCTGTGAGGATTACGGCATAGAATCCTCCGAGCGGATTGGGAGGGTTGTTCCTGATCACGATTTGGAAAGTCGAATCTGTAACCAACCACATGGTAATCCCCAAGAAAGCCACGACCACATTTTCAAATCGATGAAGGATAAACTTCACGTCGTTGAAGAGAAGTGAGTCCCTGGCCAGCTTCCACACGTGCAAGTGCCCCGTTGATACGTAACCCTGCTGTCCAGAAGAGCAAGAGCATGTTCATGATCTTCATGGGATGAGATGCCTGCTCTAAGCCTAGCACGGTCTTCTTCACCGTGATTGCGAAGAAGCTGCCAATGAGTCCAAAGATCACGCACTTCAAGACGAAACAAAACCCTAGCAAGGCAGGAGCTCTGTCTGTCTGAAACACAGACAAGCCAAGGTTGAAGGTGCGACGTGCCATCCACTGCTTCTTTCCCAGGTAGCACCAGGGGTTCAAGTCGAAACTAACCTCCGTCTCCTGACAGCGTACCTGAAGATAGTCGGCATGGTTGACCCCAGTGTAAAAGAAAGCATAGGCATCGCCTTGAGGAGCCCAAGTGCTTGCAAGAACACCGGCCATCAAGAATAGCAAGAAGCCAAGCACATGGTGAGCTTGAACACAGCCAACCCTTGAAGTGCAAGTGCCAGGCTCATTTTGTGACGGTACAGACCTCCAGCCCTTGTGCTGCTCATCTAGAATCCTCATGGTGTCTTTGCAGAAGTCATAGAGCAAGCCCACATTCACCTCCTGAAGCTGCCTCTCTTCCCACAACTTCTGCTGGCGCCTGTTGAAGTCCTCCATCGCTTTGGCCCTCTCTTCACCATCTGGCTGCCCGAGCATCTGGCGGACAAGGTCCTCCTCGGCCATCTGCTCGGCATCTGGCCCCACCTCTTCTTTGTTTTGAGGCCCCTTAAAAAAATAGAGTAGGGTTTTGGGTTGTCTTGTGCTATAATTTCATAAGGACTATCAGGGGACAATATCTCATTACACAAGGCATGTTACCATGAAAACACTACGACCGGTGGTAATGCAGCCACGAATGTCACTAGTGCGATTGCAGAACTTCTCCACGGTTTAGGGTTTAGGGTTTGGGGTTTAGGGGTTAGGGTTTAGGGTTTAGGGTTGTCCTCCTGCCTCATGCAAGCCCTCGAGGATCGTCTCCAGGCTTCTGTGAAAGCTCTTCTTGCTCCAGAAACTCATTTTGGGAGTCTTCCTTGGAACCGTCGTCCAAGCATCGACGAGCGTTTCCTGGCTACATGTGCACAATCAGATCCCTTTCTTGCGCCTAAGAACACTGGAGAATTCTCGAGTTTAGCTCCCAAGCAATCTATTAATGCTACCTCGCTTGTTGAGAAACTCTTCACCTTCTCAGGGCGGCCAGGGTAGAGATTGATGGTAGTCATCACCTCTGTTTCCTCCGTGCCCCCACCCAAGAACTTCATGGCACGAAGCGGTCTGAGCATGATTTCTGCAAGCCTGGAATTTTCTTCTCGCCGCTCTTCCTCTGTGTGGTGCATTTGGAAGCGAACGAGTGCCTTCAGCTTCACCGCTGCCGCTGTCACAGGATGCACGGCGACTTTCAACGTGTACTTCTCCTTCTGATCTGTTCCGGAAGGCTCCTGCGGTTTGGGGCCTCGAACTACAGTTCCTTGGTCCCAAAGGGCTGTCATCAAGCACACAAAAGCCATCATCAGGACAACTGTCCAACTTTGCTCCAAGACTGGGCCGGGCTGGCAGAAGTCCCGGTGGCTTTCCCAGGCTCCGTACCGCAAGCAAGCATTCCCCCAATCTTCATTCTCTGGGGTGGCTGCGATGCGAATCAACGAGCAGTGGAGAAAGCACAAGGAGATCAAGATGAACCAGGCCATGAGGTGCCGGTCGTCGTAACCAGCACGCTTGCAGTCCAGGAAGCAACACACAGGACTCACGTCAGGCCGATAATGCTGGATCTTTTGGAGCCGCCAACCCCGAAGCAAGCAAAAGAGTGCTATTACGAGGAAAAGCAGGTACCAGATCAGCGTGTACCACCAGGGGCTGAACCCTCCTAGTGAGGGGCAATACGCCTCCTTTGTAAACACATCCAGCACCTGCCCCCCGAACATGCACTGCTCAGTGCCGTTGTGCTTCAAGGTCTCGTAGACCAAGACTGGGGAATCGGAACTACAAACTAAGAAGAAGACGGGTGCGAAAACGAGAGGCTTGTAGTTGGAGCCTTTCACAAACTGCAAGGATGCAATGTCATCTCCAGGCAGCTGGTGATCCTGCAGCTCATCGAAGACCGTCTTGCCCTCAAGCTTTGGGGCCCACATCCGTGCCCATCCGAGATCCACGCTCTTGGATCCTATGCTGAACTTGCAATCCTGTTAACTTCAGAAAAAATGTCGCGGCTTCTTATGGTCTATAGGATTGTGGTGAGAAAAACTAGAACAAGAACGATTTTCAAGCACCCCGAAGGATCCGATCACCACTGGAGGCGGTGCCTTTGGCTCGCAGCTGGCGGCAGCCTCGCTCAAGGTCGGATTCTGCATGGCACCTGTCTGGGCTACGGCCTGTTCCCAAGAAAAAAAGAGCTCCACGGAGAGAAACGGGTCGGAGCCATCAAAAAGAAACGCAGAGCACTCAGGAAGCCGCCCCTTAATTAAGGGAATATATACCCTTAAACTATAGGTGCCTTAATACTATGATTTAAGGTATATTCCTTAATTAAGGCCTTCAAAGCCACCGACAAATGCAAGGGTCCTTGTGGAGGTTCGGCTCCATGCACCCAACCTGGCGCGCAGTAGTGAGAGTAGTCGCTCGAATACTCTCAACAATAACGGCAGGTTTCACAGTTTTATCGTTTAGGGCTTAGGGTTTCTGGTGTAAAGAGGAGCTTCGGTTGGCTACGGCCTCTTGCCGCACAGCGCAGGGCCTAGGCTGGTCTACAAGCAGACGGTGGATGCGGTGAGATGTAAGCCGGCCGAGCTCTGTATGATGCAACTCCAGAAAGGTTTACAGAATCTGCAACTTGCGGAACACCGGATACCGTGTGGGCCTGAGGTTTCACTGTGCAAAACCTTCACTGGGCCTATGTCGAGAGCTGCGCCGCCGACATAAGCAATGTGCTGGGTGATTGAGTGATGCTCGACAGACATGATGCCGATCTGCGAAATGCTTATGACATGGCGTAGTCTGACATTCTCAAGACCCAGGCTACCCTTTCGAGTGGCAGGCTTTTGCAAAACAACTGCAGCCAAAGGCAAAGGCTGCCACGGAAAATGCGCATGGCGTCTGACTCTCTGACCTCTGCTGCCTTCGATGATGTAGACTCCCATTCCGTTTCCAGCTTCATAGCTCTTCCCTAAAACCCTAAACCCTAAACCCGATGATAAACCCTAAACCCTAAACCCTATTATAAACCCTAAACCCTAAACCCTAGGGTTGCAGCGGCTCTCGGCTTTTCCGGCTGCGAGATCTTCGTCTCCCGAGCAGACTCGGAGTCCCTGGGCCCGGGCCTGGAAAAAACTGCGGTCCTGCCTGCTCTGAGGTTTAGGGTTTAGGGTTTAGGGTTTAGGGCTTAGGGTTTAGGGTTTAGGGTTTAGGTAATTAGGGGCCTGAAAGAGGTGTTGTGGGATTTTGGTTTCAAGGGTTTTGGGGTTTTTAAGGGGCTTTCGGCATAAGAACCGTTGAAATCCCTGACCGCATGGCCCACGGCCGTTGAAACGAGGCACAGCTTTGCCAAAAAGAGTTCTCTCTCTTTGCTCAAGCTGCGGAAACCAATGGGAACGAGACCTAGCCAGCCACACGAAGGGGCCTGGTCTCCTGGAAGAGGCTTCTTCTTCTTCTGAACTCAATATGCACGGGTTTAGGCTGTAGGGTTTAGGGCTTTGAGTTGACCGCTATCTTCCGTTGTTCTCATGACTCAGAGAGCTAGTGCAAGGGATTCTCCTGAGATCCCAAGATCTTGAACCTGGGTTTGTCAGGTAGTATAGGGCCGGGCTTCATCAAGGGGCAACGGGCTTGCTGGACAAGCCTAAACCCCAGAGCCCTAAACCCAAAAACGCTGACTCCCCAAAGCCTTAAACCCCAAACCCTAAACCCTAAACCCGAAACCCTTAAACCCTAACCCTAAACCCTAAACCCTAGACTAGACCCCAAGGCCTTAAAACCTTCCCATCCTGGGGAACCCTAAATCCTTGGAGCCTTTTCCGGGGCACCCAGTGGGCGCCGAAACAAAAAAATTTCTGCGGCCGAAGGCAGGGGTCTGCTCTGACCCCGTTCTGGCCGCGGAAAGACGCGATCTACTTTATGATTTTTCCAGAAACCTAGTTTGCACTTCGGGCTTAGGGTTTAGGGTTTACTTTTACTAGGCATGCGTCGTCAGAATTTCTCACGGCTTCGGGATTTAAGCTTTGGTGAGCACTGCTGGAGTCAGCAAGGGGTCCCTGCTTGATCTTCGTTCCTTACGAACTACCCTGATGGCATGACCAAGGTTTTCATAGAATTGTACGCCAAGTTCACCGATTCTTTCGGTATGTCCTTGGTGTTTACCCCCCTAAACCCTAAACCCCAAACCCTGAACCCTAAACCCTAAACCCTAAACCCCAAACCCTAAACCCTAAACCCTAAACCCTAAACCGTTGTTTAGGACTTAGGGGTTCAGTGTCAGCAGAAGCCAGAGGTTCTCGTCCAGCCCTTGGGGCAACAACGCCAGGGCACGGAGAAAGACCTCGGATCGGCTGTACCATTCAGAAAAGCTGGGTACCCTTTTTGGGGGTCCTTATAATAAGGTTTGGGGTTTAGGGTTTAGGGTTTAGGGTCAGGATCCTGCTGTTTAGGGTACTAAATTTGGGTCCCCTATTTTCGGAAAAGCTGGGTGAATGTACTTTCCGAAAGAAGACTACATGTAGCGAGGCTCTCTGTCCGGCTTACTAGCCTGCGGCCACATGCCGACCCCTGAGTCGCTTTGGCATCGCGGCACAGCAGAACAGATGACGTGTCATGACGCGGTTCCTAGCAAACCAAGGCCGCGCACCGTGAGGAAGACCACCGCCGGGAAGGCCAGCATCAACAAACCGCGGAGCTCCAAGCTGATGACTCTCCTGGCTGCAACCTACAAAGGGTTTAGGGTTTAGGGTTTAGGGAAGCTAGTGCAGAAAAAGGGCCTTGAGGTGGAAATCTACATGGATCTGGCTGACAGTCCTTCTGTGGTGAGTGCTTGTAGCTGCGAAACGACTCGGATGTGCTCATTCCATCGGCTTTGCTTTCAAGCACTCCGCGGGTCAGATGTGCAGCTGCCGGCTCCTTTCGTACAGAGACAGCACCAGAGTCACCATAGCGCCTGAGCTGATTCTATTGCTTGGGGTCCTGCTTCTTTCTGTCGGCCCATCCTTCACGCCCCATCCTACCCCTGACACAGGTGCACAAGAAAAGCCGGTCTTTGTATTGGCAGTAGGCTGAACTTCGGCAGACAGCTTCTGCATCCCAGCACATCACTTTTGCTTAGCTCAGCGGTCTTGGCACCGCCCTCTCGATTTCCTTCGCTGGCCATGCTGCCAAAGAGCAAGCCCATGCGACGGCAAAGTTGCCGGAAAAGAAGAACCTTAGCAACATGCCAGCACTCGGCATCAATGTGGTTCTCTCCAAATCAGAACTCGAGTTCACACACGCGAAGTGCATAGACATCGGCAGGTGATATACTCACAGCAGCACAGACCTTCTGCTTCTTGCCCAAAGCCCCAAGCACCTCAACTTCAACCCTAAGCCCTAAACCCTAAACCCTAAACTCCCTAAACCCCTAAATCCCTAAACCCCTGAACCCTAAACCTTTCGCTAGCCGGTACATGGGATCTTCGCGGATCCTTCGCTGGCTGAGCCCCCCAGCTCCGGCCAGGCATCAAATCGATTGCACAGCTCCTCCCACCAGGCCTGATGCAGGCGGTTTAGGGAATAGGGTTTAGGGATGATGATGATGATGATGATTCTCCATTTCATTTGCAGCAGCATGATCATCATGACTGTTCCCAATTAACAAGTTCTACTGTTGCCACTACTAAGAGCTTTGGATTTGCACTACTAGCACCCCCCCCCCCCCTGGCAATGACTGTTTGTCGCTGATGGAATTCTCACCATCACGGCTGTTCGCGCTGCTTGTTGCTACGACCGTTGTGATGACTATGAGCACGGTGAACATCTCTTGAACGGAGACCGCGAACGTAAGCTGGTACCAACTGCGTCACGGCGCACCTGGCTGCCGGCCAGGAGATGCAAAGACACCTCACACTGCAAGCGTCAGCTGCCGGAGCCAGAGCATGCAAGAAGAACAGCTCAGAGAGCGCTTCGTGAATCTCCCTAAACCCTAAACCCTAAACCCTAAACCGTCTACATGGAGCAGGTTGCAGCTTGGAGGCCGGAAGATTGAAGATGCCAGGAACCAGGAAAGCATCCACTCGGTGCAGGTGGCCGCGTTGCACCCAGGAATTCAGGATGAAGGCCTCCCCCAAAAAGCATGGGGTTAGGGTTTGGGGTTTAGGCTTATGAAGGCCTCCCCCAAAGCATGGGGTTAGGGTTTAGGGTTTAGGGTTTAGGCTTAGGAAGGCCTCCCCCAAAGCATGGGAGAATCTTCTTCCTCTCTGCTTTTCTGGCTCCCTGCCCCAACCTGATGGGCCACGAGCAGCAGCGTGAGCCCTCCGACAAGAGGGTCCGCGATGGCCAGCTCCGGCCACACAGCCCGCGCCGTCTGATACGCCAGCACCTGAGGGCAGAAGGAGCGAACCTGTCCTGTCTCAGAGGACTCTTCGGCTTTAGCGGAGCCGAGCACACGGCCAAGTAGAAGGCGGCGGCGTTCCTGGGCGGAGTATCTTCTAAACTGCCTAAAAACTCCTTTCCCCCTGAAGGCTGTAAAATCAAAGCTCTTCGAGGACAAGAATCAAGAATCCGCCGGTCTTCACGTCACCTCTGCTCCCAAAGCCCAAAACCTTCAGCACGTCGCTGCGCCTGAAGCCAGAACAAAACTCTTTGGGATCTTCGGGTTAAGGCTTTTCGAGTTTTCTGCTTCGGATTTTAAAAGGCTTTGAGGTTTTCGTGCCGAGGGCGGGCGGGGGGGGGCGCGTGCTTTGGGATTGGGAAGTTAACGCCGCACCGGGGTCCGGGCGAGCCGAGGAGGCTTGGCTGGAGGCCGCTGAGGGCGTTCAGGACTCCGGCGAAGAGGGCCAACAGCTTCACCTGCAGACGTTCCGAGTGAGTTTAGTTAAAGGAAACTACAGGTGGGGAGTTTAGGGTATATAGGGCTTCTACAAGGCTTCTGTAAGGTATATAGACCTTCTATAAATAAGGCTCCTCTAATGGTAACTACCCACCTGAAAATGTCCTAGGTCTAGGAGCAGGTACAGCCTCATGTCATGCCGTCCTGCATCCCAGAAGGCGAGCCCTCTGTAAATTTGATCTACCTGACACCGGCAACAACCAGTGACCTGGCGTCTCGGAAACTGCCCGCGGCAGCATCAGAGTCTCGCCAGCGATAAAGGCACTAGAGAAAACACTCAGAACCGGACAGACAAATGCAAGTCTGCAAGAGTGACGGTGCATGCGGAGGCCTCCATGGGAAGCGTGGGCGCCTAGGCCATGCTCAAGACAATAGTAACTTAGCAACTCCTGCTGCAGCAACAGCCGAAGAAAACGAGAGCCTGTGCTGCAAACTCCGTGTAGCTCTGACAGCTCCTCACCCATGCGACAGCTGACTCCGAGGTCAATGCCCAGCTGTTCCCATTCAGAGTCATGATATCGCTCGCGCAAGTGTACAGCAACACTCCAGCTCCTGCCCATGGAGGCTGACTCGCCACTCGTCCCCTACACAAAAACTTGCCATCGGCCTAAGGCGAAATAGATTGCGCCGCTGATGGCATGCACCTCAGTCTCACAAATGCCACTCTGACTCTGAGGCCATCTTCGTGCATCTTGCGATGCTCTTGCAGCTTGCAGCTACTCCGAGGTCCGCTAACGCACGACCAAGGCACATCTAAAGAGTGTTGTTTTAGCATTTTGCAAGGAGAGGGCGTAGGGTAACGTAAGGCCGAGGTCCGGACGTGCGCAACATCCGCAGATGTCCACATGCGATTCATGGATTGGATCTTCCACATCTGCTGCCACGCCTCCACCTCAGCAAAGAGTACATACATCACCCTCCTCCAGTGCAGAGACTGCATGGAACGTTCGAGTGCAGTGCAGCTTCTTCTGTAGGCCCGCTGCATTCTTCCGAAAGTATGCGTACCAACATATATGATCAAACGATGTAAAGAATCGAAAGTCGAACAGTTCAGATTCCCAGCACCTAAACCGTACCTTGCTCCCCGCCTGCGGCTCAGAAGCCACAGGGACCTCCGGCCCACCAATTGCAGCTCCTTCCTGCAGAAGCCGCATGTAACCCAAAAGTAGCTGACAGTCCCGGGTTAGGGGTTTAGGGTTTAGAGTTTAGGGTTGAGTGTGCAAGAGGATTCTGTCCAGAATGACTTGACGTTGCCAGGAGCAGACAAACTAGATCAGCGGATGGCGACAGCCACCACCGAACAGGGTGAAACTACAAAGCGATCCGTCGAAAAAGCTCGCAAGACTTGCGGTGAACACAATCAGAAACAACGCGTACTACAATTACTACAAACATCTGCTGCTCGTCTGAGTACTGATATTGCTGAAAACTACAACACGGAGTGGGACATCGTGATGCTAAAGCGTCTTGAAGGTAAGAACCAAGTGTCGCAGTCCTTCTGGGCAATTGGCCGGCATCGATGAGCCCAATGCTCCTCTATCAGCAGATGCTAGCAATTTGCATCTTGCAACCTGTCTTGAAAAGAAGCAGGATGTCGCAACACACTCCGTCATTGCAAAGCTGAACTGAGTGGAGCAGGCAGCACCTACAGGATCTGCAAACGCACATGTAATGCTAACGTTCTATAGCTCGGCCCCCCTGTGCCTCATCCAGTCTCACCACAACAACCCATGCTATGCGACAGCTGGCATGTGCTCTGCTACCATGTACAAGGCTGTACAATAACACCCGGCCCCTCACGGCCTGCCTGGATCTCTGCCAAGGTCAAGTCTGCTCTCTCCAGGCACTTCTCCAGCTCCTCTTTTTCGGCGAAGAGAGAAGACTCGCGGTGTGTGTGTGTGTGTGCGTTGGAACGTAACCATATGCGGATGGAACGCGTTGCGCAGAAAGAACGACATGCCTTTGCATCGATGTATAACCATGTAAATATAAGTGAATGTATTGCTTCAGAAAGAGTTCACTTTTATGCATACGAAAGACATCGCAGGACAAGATCCGCTCCTTGAAGGTGTAAACCTTTCCGTCCCAGGGGTTGAAACGACGCCTCAAGGATGGAGATCCGCAGATAGCTGTGCGAAGCACTTTCAAACTGAAAGTAAAGTTCTGATTCATGAAACCCTTCCCCGAAGGGATCTGAATACTTCTAGGCTTGGGGATTCAGGGGGTTGCAGCATTCATATTCCAAGTTTGGCTAGCACTTTCACGGCCGTTGCTGATTGTGATCCTGTCGTTGCGAACACCGTTGACTCGGCATCAACGAATGAGTTCTCGCGAGAAGTCACAAGCACTTTTTAGCAGGAGAATGATGAAATGGCACCTCCTGGTGCGTCCTCAGCAATCAGGGATGTCGTCTTACTAGGAGACCGGAATGATACAGGCCCCAATGGGGGAATGAATCCTCAATCCTGAAATCCCGACACCTAGCGCTAAACCCTAAACCCCCAAACCCGAAAACGCTTACAGCAAGTAAGCCCTCCCTAAACTTCAGACCCCTGAACCCTAAGCCCTACAAGCCCTACTCCCCGAAAGGCCCTACACCCTTTCGCCCGCTAGGGCCCGAGCTCATTGGGATTCTGGGCTGTGCTTTGGACCTCCAAGGCAGGGTTTTAGGGCTTAGGGTTTCTCTTTTTTAAAGTGCAATAGCTCTTTCTCACTGCAGAGTCGAAGCCTGCCTGTACCAGGCATACACTTAGTTAGGGACGATCCAGTTTGAAATCGTCCCAAGAGAGCCTAGACCTAGCCTGAGCCACAGTCTCATTCAGAACCGTTTCGACTGCGACTACGCATGCTAAGGCCAAGTTCGGGCTCAGGGTTTGGCAAAAGCTTCTGTTTAGCTTGCGAGTTCAGAATGGTTTTCAAAGGACTTTGAGGCTAAGAACTGAGACTTTGCTGGGAATCCCACGGTGGCACGACGCCGTTGCTCCCTCTGCAGACCTTCGACAGCGCGTTGCGCAAGCCTCGCGATGAGCGAGGTGGCCGCTGGTTTCGAGGCTTCCGGGTTTTTTGGTGTCATCCACAGCAACATCCAAGTTTGCACCGCTCTGGGCCCCTCCTTCTGCTTTCAATCATGAGGTTCGGGCTCGAAAGGAGTGCCCTCTGGCAGCACCAGCCAGTCACCTTCCTCCACCCAACCTGGAAGAAGGAAGCTCTGGCAATGGACGTGTGAAAGCAATTCTCGACGAACTGACCCTAAACCCTAAACCCTAAACCCTAAGCCCTAAACCCTAAACCCTAAGCAGTGTGTGGGTCATATCAGCCGGCATCGTGAGCTCTTCGTGAGCTCTTCCCAGACGAGGCAGACAAGCAAAGAGCTGAAGGCTGCAAAGACGAGAAATTTTCCATCTTATCCGCCGACCCCTGCTGGGGCGGCGCCAGTGAAATCCCGAAGGGTTGTTTGTTTGTTTGTCTGAAGCATTGCTTTGCTCTTCTGCCCTCAGCGCTTTGCCCGCCAACTTTACGTCGTCACCACCCTCCCTCACTGCCCCCACCGCTCACCGCCTTCACTCCTCTGCCATTGTCCCCACCTGGCCGCCCTTGGTTCGGGTCTCTGCCATTTTCCCCACCTGGCTGCCCTTGGTTCAGGTTTTCAAGTCTTTAGGAAGTATTTAGAGGCTTCCAATGTGTGCCCAAACCTCCTCGGCCCTCACCGCCCCACCGCCCCCACCGCCCCCACCGCCCTCAGCGCTTCGTCCACCCCCACCGCTTTTAGCGCTTCGCCCACACACTCCACATCGTCACCACCATCACCCTCACTGCCCCCACCGCTCACCGCCGTCACTCCTCGGCCATTGTCCCCACCTGGCCG